GAACTCACACTTATGTGGTCTTTCAGGTTCAAAGTGTGTTCTTTGATGATTACTGAGTCTTGTGGCAGTGCGAAACCTCTCACTACATACTTCACAGACAAATGCATTTTCTTGGTCATGAGTTCGGACATGAGCTTTCAGATTGTAGACAGTGGTGAAACGGCGACCACAGTTTTCCCATTCACATTTATAAGGGCGCACTTTGTCATGAGACTGAAGGTGGCGTTTCAATTTGTATGATGTTGTGAAAGACCAATCACAACCCTCTACTGTGCATTTAAAGGGACGCTGGTCTTCTGTGTGTACAACCAAATGGATTTTGAGATTTTGACGAGTATCAAAGGTACTGGAACAGCCAGGCTGGGGACACCTATACTTTGCTAGCGAAACTTTCTTGGTCATTCCAGACACAGTTAAAAGGTTCATTGGCTGTAATTCTTCACAAGTTAATGGTTTGCGTTTTAAATTTTGGCAAATACTGCTGTCATCTTCTACAGCACAAACGCTCCCTTCTTCTTGCTTAATTGATGGGCAAGAGTCCAGAGTTACACCCATTTCTGATAGTGAACAGTCATCAGCTAGAGTCAACTCTGAATCACTGTTGGCAAATCTAGCTTTAGGCTCATCCTGTAGACTGGAGGTAACATTGCTGATTTTCCCAATGGATTTACTTCCACCGTCGTAGTTGAGCAGCACAAGATCTTCATTGTCTTTCATTCCCAAATGTTCTTTTAAGCTCATCACACCATCATCCTTGTATGCGTAGCTGTCTGGTGGGGTGGCTAGAGTTAATATCCCATTTTCAATGGTCACTATGATGTTCTGATTGTTAATCATAATGGTCCCAGAGAACGTTTCATGCACAGGTATTGAACCCCCATCAGGGCCACAATCCCCATTACTACTAGATTCTTGATTTGCATAATCCATGATATTAATTTCATTCATATCAGTGGAAAGCCTATTATTTTTCACCACACATTGCATCAATTCTTCTGTTGAATGTTCGGCTAAACTACTGCTGAGCATTTCCCCAGTAGAGATGTTTGGCGTTTGACAGGTCCCAGCAAAGTCCTCTGATAATACTGGGTTTCTATTCTCTGTTACTAGACAGACCTCCTGCCTGGCATTTTGATCAGTTCTCTCAGATCTCAAGTTTAAATTGTTGTGGCTTGACAAATGTGCTGATTTTGACGACGTTCTGTTGAAGCTTCCTTCCGAGTCTGTTGGTGAATTGAGAGTCTTTGACTTGGGTGATGCCGACGAACCGTTCTCTTCCGCTTTGTACTGAACGCTCGTTTGACGCTCCTTGTCTTTATGAACTATATTAAAAACTACGTATAATTCCTCGGGGCTCCTGCTTGAAGATGCAGATGTGTCCTCGGGAATCTTCTCTGTCGTCTGCCTTTGTTCGCAGTTTTCTGCGTCCAGCAGAGGAAGAGCCATTTGCAGATCGTTGTCTTCATGTTCGTCGGCCCTCTCAAACTCTGAAGGCAGTAACTCCAATTCATTAAACACCTTTGGCTTGGACACATTCAGGTCACCGAGCTCTGTGTCTCCGGACTGAACTTCATACGCCTTATGAGGGCTGTTTTGAAGAGACAGAAGGCAGCCGCTGCCATTTTCTGCAACTCGAAGCGGTGTCGACCTGGCCCGGTTGTTGTTGTCGTCACTTTCTATGTCCAGCGATCCCGAGGAATCCGAGATAGCCTTTCCAATCAGTCGTGGTCTCGCAAGAATACCAGAAGCTGTTGTCTGTTGTGAGAATGTCGGGTTGAGCGAGGCGCCATGTTGGTACTGAGTGTTTTTGGTATCAGTAAGCCCCTGGATTTCCATCTTGGTGTCCCTGTAGCAGCCGCTCTCGCAAGCTCCGCCCTTCGCATACGAGTGCCTGATTTTGATAGGCTAGCTTTGGAATTACGCCACACTAAGCACATTTTCAGCATCCTCAATCAAAATCGAAGTGAGCGCATGTGACAGTACTAAACCGCCCCCAAAAATCTTCCAGTTACATTACTAGGAACATTTGCCTCTTTGTTTTAACCACAGACTATAAAAAATTAGGCATTAATGCAATACATTTATACGTAATTTAGATCTGTAAAGTAGAACAATACATAAAATTGATTTCTATTATTTTAATTTTAACTTGTCTTTTTGCAATGTTATTTATAAGTGTAATTATAAAATTATTTATATATTATCAAATGTTTATTTTGTTTTCTAAACTCTCTCTGTATATTTTTTGTAAATGTTTAGATCAGACTCAACATTGGCAAGACCTTTCCATTGCGGAAAATATTTTATTGGGGTTTTTCAATTTAATAAGTTTTTCTCTACTTTGCACATAGGGATCAACTCACCACAATTCAATAATTGTAATGATCTGCATAGTCTTTCAGTGAAACACTTTGAGAGAAAATATTAAACGAGCAAAACAGGATCATTTTTCAGTTATTGTACTCTCTTCAAATGACATGGTGTAAGTTTATATGTGTTAAGATTCACTAAATAATAATGCTAAAATCAAACAATGGGCCCCTATCAAACACCAGGTGGCTCAAGACGTATTTGGCACAATTAGTTGCTATTTTCAGACCAGCGCAATAGTAATTTTCATGTTTTACACCACAAAATACATTTGTGCCAATTTGTGGACTCATGGGTATTCCGGTCTAAAAATTAGGTGTGTTAAACTAGAAACTATGTGCCATTGATTATTTAAAAGCTGGTCTAAAGTCCAGCACAGAGCACAGCACATATGAAAAAAAGGATTAAAACGTTACAAAAATTATTATTTTCAACAAAAAACACTGCCTCAATGCCTTCTTCATGTTGAGAATCTTTTTTCAGTTTATATATAACAATTTGCATTTGTATAATGTTATTATTATTATTAGTAGTATGATTTATTTTATGCATATATATATATATATATATATATATATTTGTTTGTTTGTTTTATTAAAAACTGAACAAGTTTAGAAGTCCATCTGTTTTGGAGACATGCATCACTATATGGGGCATAAGAATAGGACTTGTGTTTGGACATAACTCAGTTTTTTGTCCACATTTCATTATTTTTGTTCATTTATTTGTTTGCTGGAAATTAGAAATGAATTTAGAAATAGTTTTGAAACAAACTTTTGTGTTTAACAAACAAAATTAAATATGTAGGCTAATGGATGTTTTCAGTGGAGTGAGCACAACACAGTTTCCTTATCCACCAAAGTAAAGGAGAAAAGTAAAGAGTAAAATAAAGAGAAAGTAAAGACGCCGAATGGAGGAGGCTCGTTCTTTATCCTTGCATTGCAGATGGTTTGATTAACTGTTTTTGTTAACTTGCTAGTGAAGTGTTCGGTTTTTGTACTCACAAAATCCACCATGTAAATAGCTAATGTGCCATGGCACGATGCAATTGACTCTTAAAGAGAATGGGAGACGAGACTGATTGGTCTAATGCACGTTGTGCTCAAAACACACCTATAACTAGGGCCAGACAGAATTTGCGGACATTTTTTGCTATTTCTGCGCATAATTTTTGTAATAATCTGTGGATTTACGAGGAATTATTTTGAGAGTATCATAACTAAAACCTTAGTATATGGAATCAAAAGTAATACCTTTTTAACTTTTATTTAATGTTTACAATGCAAATCCAATAAAATCCACTTTATTTGGTAAATAAAAATACTAGTCTCTCAAATAATAAGTCTACTTCAAGACAGAAAATATTACTTTACACACTGTATTGTAAATATATCATATGCATATTTTCATGTTAATCAGTAATATTACTTAAATCAATTTAAAAACTGAATAAATATTAATTTACACAAATTTACACAAGTAAATAAACAGAATCAATGATGGGCTGAAAATCTGTGGAATTTTGCAAGCGCAGATTCTGTGTGGGCCTACCTATAACACATAAAGAGAATAGGCACAACCATGTTAGACCATGCGCTGGGACGCAAAGCGTATTTCCTGTCCTTAAAATAGTAAAAGTGGATTCAGGCATTCCTTTAATGCTTTTGCGCTATGCACTTTCGACTTTGTGCATAGATGGAAATAATAAAGCCCAATGTGTGCAAAGTTCGAAGTTGAATTTATGATGTAAAAGTAATTATGTAAAAATTACAATACAATTTAATTAACCAAACTCCATTTCAGCTGAACTCTCTGAGAAAGCGAATTGGCCTTAACTCTACTTGTTATTTTAAAAATAAGTTTACAAGATATTACCATTCGTCATGATGTGATGGCAATTAGTTGGAGTAGAATTGGTATAAATCATCTTTACGCTTTATGGAATTTTTCTTTTACACAGAGAAATAAATTTAAAAATGCATGTACATCTGTTGTATTATGATGACTGTAACTACCTACTCGAAGCCTGTGCACATTCATTACTACAGGCATTTGATTAGCCAAGGACAAAAAATTAAGGAAAGATGAATCCAAGAATTTCCATATTACAAATTATCTATAATAAATAATTGTTTTCCTTAAATTACAGTAGGCCACATAAAATAAAAAACCTTTGTAATTATTTAGTTTTAAGTTTTAATTTTTGTTTCCTTAATTAAAATGTTTGGAGGTTTAATAGTCCACTAAATAATTTTTTTATTAAACAGTGTATAAATTTGATGCTGATGTTAAATAGAATCAACAAATGGCATCACTTTCCTACTTTTACTTACTTAAAATGAATTTCATTAGCCTGCATATCAGAGCAGCTCTTCAGTGTTCTCGTTGTAAGACTATGCATCGCTGTTTTATACACACACTGACAAAAGAAAATATGGAAATCTGTAATTCTAATGAAAAATAACATCCCTTACTGATGTCCTAAATGAACCAAACATAGTGTTGTCCAGTTGGATTACAAAGATGATCCTTATAAAGCCTCTCAACTACCAATCACTACTAAACGATAAAGTAAAAGATGACAAGCACAATCTAAAGTTCATAAATAAATAAAAAAACTGCCTCAGAATGAAGAAACATTGGAAGAACATTTTATTATCTTAAACTCTAGACATCCAAATATATCTCAAGTTAATCATGAAAAACAACAACAACTAAAACAATATAGCTGCAAGCAGCAATTAACGGGGGTCAAGCGGTTTAGCAGGGTAAGGTCATATAGCAGTTAGGACGCCTGTAAGTAGTTTATTTGACAATGAAATATATGATTACAGTGTTAGAGTTTATAGATTGAGCTAACAAATGTTTGATTAAACACTCCAGAAAAGCAACTTCGATTTTTACATATTGCCAAATTTTTTATGAACATTTTGAGTGACCGCTTTTATGTCAAAGTGACCAGTATAAGCAGCCCTATAATATAATGTGTAGATCGAGTCATGGCACCTTAGACAAAGACACGGCATGTCAAATTTTAAGTTAATCAGATAAATGGTTACTCAGATACAGTGATTTTACAATGTATAGCGCCAGCATGTGGCCAATGTCTACAGGTTTCATGCTCTGACCTCTGATTAACCTCTTGCATAAGTGTGACAAGTTTGGTGTAGATATTTCAATCCATTCATGAGTTATGGCTATTTTAGCTCTTTTTTAATGAAAATGACAAAACTATATAACTATATAAACTTAAAATTTTGTGTTTTATTAAAAGAATAAAAAATCTACAGAGTAAAAAGTGTGACAAGCTTTGACAAAATTTGATCTTAAATGCATGAACTGTGTTCATGCCATGTCAATTTGGGATTCAGAATGCATTACATTACATCACATTCTTTGCTACAGAGCAGTAAAATAAACTATTAACTATAAGTGGTCTGTTACTTCCATCTAGTTGCAACAGTTTTGATTTTCTTTACACATGTTTTAAAACAAGGTGTTTAATTATAGAACCAGTTTTGCCTATTAGAATTATTATGAAGAGGTTAACTGTGACCAAATTAGATGTTTAATGCATAACAGTGTTTACATCATGTCAAAATGTGATTCAGAATTATCCTAAATGCAATTTCCCTGACTTTAAACTCAAAAAAATGTAAAACAACAAAGGTATGCAAATGTTATGAACAATAAATAAGTGGTCTTGTGGTGACATCTAGTGGTTAGAAATGGTATGTGACAGTTAAAAGTCTGTGTTATAGTGGCTAAAATAATAGAATATTAAAAATATATGTTTTTGAGACCTTTAAACATCCAAGATGGACAAAAAAATTAACTTGTAAATCATTACAGTGATAAGTGTGTAAATGAAGCACATTTACTGCATTTTAAGCCATTTTAGCATATTTTTAGGACCATTTCCACTATTATAGCGCCACCTATAGCCCAATCTCCACAAAATTTTGCATGTTTCTTCACATTTATAAGGCACATGTGCTCACCAATTTCTGTGATGTTTTGAGTTTTCCTTATTGGTTTACAGGCATGTAGGTTCGTGTAGACACGCCCCTTTTGTTAATGAGCCTGTTACAGCTATCAGAAGTGAAAAGTTCAACATTTTTTTGATAATTATTGATCTACTCAGTACAGAGATTCTAACAACACTGGTTTCGTTGCGATTGAGCTAAAAACCAGGGACTAGTTCGCAAAAGTAGGTTTTGTACATATTGATGGTTTTTTAATGAACAGTTTGAGTGACAGCAGTGGTTTTAGTGTCAAACTATTCAGTATGAGCAGACCTATCATATGATATGTAGATTAAGTGTTTTTTGTGAAATAGTATGTAAATGAAGCAAATTTATTTTATTTTTAAGCGATTTAGCATTATTTAAAGACTATTTTTGCTAATGTAGCGCCACCTATGGTTTGATCTTCACAAAATTTAGCATGTTTGTTCACATTGATATGGCACATGTGCTCACCAATTTCTGTGGTGTTTTGAGCTTTCCTTATTGGTTTACAGGCGTGTAGGTTCGTGTGGACACACCCCTTTTGTAAATTAGCCTGTTACAGCTAGCCAAAGTGAAAAGTTCCACTTTTTTTTGATAATTATTGATCTACACAGTCCAGAGATTCTAACAACACTGGTTTCGTTGCGATTGAGCTAAAAACCAGGGACTAGTTCGCAAAAGTAGGTTTTTCCTATATTGATGAATATTTAACGAACGGTGTAAGTGACAGCAGTGGTTTAAGTGTCAAACTGTTTGGTATGAGCAGGCCTATCATATGATATGTATTTTGTGTGGTTGCGCAAAAGGTTGTGTGATACACAACCCATTACACACTATAAATACGTAAAATCGCCCCCTAGTGGCCGATTTCTTTCAAAATTCTTACAGACCTCTAGGACCATGAGTCGAACATGCCCAGCGAGTTTCATTTTGATCACTCATCGTTAACCTTGTTAAATGGCTGCTCAATTTTAATTGGCCAATGGCGGCCATGTTTTTTGAGATATGCCAATGTCCTTATAGTATGTTATGACAACTTGGTCAAAGACACTGCATGCCAAATTTCAAGCTGATCGGACAAATGGTTGTAAGGTTAGAGTAATTTTTATGTTTTTTTAGCTTTATAGCGCCACCATGTGGCCAAAGTCTGCGGATTTTGCAGTGTCAACTCAAATTGAGCTTATACATGTGTGTACCAAGTTTGGTGATGATATCTCATTTCGTTCAAAAGTTATAGCTCCAATTAGCATTTAGCTTCAATTAGCATCACACATTGTTGTGTACTGTTTCGCGTGAGAATAAAAATGTCAACTTTTTTTTGATAATTATTGATATTCAGTGTCCAGAGAACATTTGAGAGCTGGCTTGGTTTAGATTGAGTGTAAAACCTAGGACTAGTTCGCAAAAGTAGGTTTCGGACAAATCGCAATGTAGCGCGAAAACGGTGCGTCGTAGAGCAAAAATTTCTGCTATACACTTTTGTTCGGGTTAACCCAAGGATTCAAAAAATGTAAAGTTTATGAGTCTACGACAAACGGTGAACGAGTAGCGGCCAAAAATGTCCAAAAAGTGGGTTTTTGGCGTAATAGCGCCACCTATGGTCTGATTTCGCTGATCTTTGGCCAGAACGTAGTGTACCGGGGTACTACCATCTGGCCAAGTTTCAGCTCTCTCGGCCTTACGGTTTGGTCTGGGCAATAGTGACTTCGGCAGAATAATAATAATAATAATAATAAATATAGCTGCGAGCAGCAATTAACGGGGGTCAAGCAGTTTAGCAGGGTAAGGTCATATAGCAGTTAGGACGCCTGTAAGTAGTTTATTCGACAATGAAATATACGATTAGAGTGTTAGAGTTTATAGATTGAGCTAACAAATGTTTGATTAAAAACTCCAGAAAAGCAATTTCGGTTTTTACATATTGACAAACTTTTAATGAACATTTCGAGTGACCGCTTTTATGTCAAAGTGACCAGTATAAGCAGCCCTATGATATATTGTGTAGATCGAGTCATGGCACCTTAGAAAAAGACATGGCATGTCAAATTTTTAATTATTCAGATAAATGGTTACTCAGATACAGAGACTTTACAATGTATAGCGCCATCATGTGGCCAATGTCTACGAGTTTCATGCTATGACCTTAGACTGACCTATTGCATATGTGTAACAAGTTTGGTGAAGATATTTTAATTCATTCATGAGTTATGGCTATTTTAGCTCTTCTTAATAAAAATGACAAAAGAGCAGTGAATAAGCTACTAGTGATCTCCTACTGCCATCTAGTGGCCACAGTGTAATTTATTTATGTGATTACAGCCATTTAGGTGTGCATAAACATATCCCTTCTATAATTGAGCATGTTCTAACTATATAAAATGAAAAATTTGTATTTTATTAAAATAATTAAAAATCTAAAGAGTAAAAAGTGTGAAAAGCTTTAACTACATTTGATCTTAAATGGATTAACCGTGTTCAAGCCATGTCAGTTTGTGATTCAGAATGCATTACATAACATTACATTACATTCTTTGCTATAGAGCAGTAAAATAAACAATAAGTAGTCTGTTACTGCCATCTAGAAGCCACAGTTGTGATTTTCTTTACATATGTTTTAAAACAATGTGTTTAATCATAGAACCAGTTTTACCTATTAGAATTATTATGAAGAGGTTAACTGGGACCAAATTAGATGTTTATTGCATAACAGTGTTTACATCAGGTCAAAATATGATTCAGAATGATCCTAAATGCAATTTCCCTGACTTTAAACTCAAAAAATGTAAAACAACAAAGGTATGCAAATGTTTTGAACAATAAATAAGTGGTCTTGTTGTGACATCTAGTGGTTAGAAATGGTAGGTGACAGTGAAAAGTCTGTGTTATAGTGGCTAAAATGATAGAATATTGAAAATGTGTTTTTGAGACCTTTAAACATCCAAGATGGACAAAAAAACAACAACTTATAAATCATGTCAGTGATAAGTGTGTAAATGAAGCACATTTACTTCATTTTTAAGCCATTTTAGCATGTTTTTAGAACCATTTCCATTATTATAGCGCCACCTATTGCCCAATCTCCACAAGATTTTGCATGTTTATTCACATTGATATGAGACATCTGCTCACCAATTTCTGTGATGTTTTGGGTTTTCCTTATTGGTTTACAGGCATGTAGGTTCGTGTAGACACGCCCCTTTTGTTAATGAGCCTATTACAGCTATCTAAAATGGAAAGTTCAACCTTTTTTTGATAATTATTGATCTACTCAGTCCAGAGGTTCATACAACACTGGTTTCATTGCGATTGAGCTAAAAACCAGGGACTAGTTTGCAAAAGTAGGTTTTGTTTATATTGATGGTTTTTTAATGAACAGTTTGAGTAACACCAGTGGTTTTAGTGTCAAACTGTTCAGTATGAGCAGACCTATCATATGATATGTAGATTAAGCGTTTTTTGTGAAATAGTATGTAAGTGAAGCAAATTTACTTTATTTTTAAGCGATTTAGCATTATTTAAAGACTATTTTTGCTATTATAGCGCCACCTATGGTTTGATCTTCACAAAATTTTGCAAGTTTCATCTCGTTGATATGCCACATGTGTTCACCAATTTCTGTGATGTTTTGAGCTTTCCTTATTGGTTTACAGGCATGTAGGTTCGTGTGGACAAGCCCCTTTTGTAAATTAGCCTGTTACAGCTAGCCAAAGTGAAAAGTTCAACTTTTTTTTGATAATTATTGATCTACAAAGTCCAGAGATTCCAACAACACTGGTTTCGTCACGATTGAGTGAAAAACCAGGGACTAGTTCGCAAAAGTAGGTTTTTCCTATATTGATGAATATTTAACGAACGGTGTGAGTGACAGCAGTGGTTTGAGTGTCAAACTGTTCGGTATGAGCAGGCCTATCATATGATATGTATTTTGTGTGGTTGCGCAAAAGGTTGTGTGATACACAACCCATTACACACTAAAAATACGTAAAATCGCCCCCTAGTGGCCGATTTCTTTCAAAATTCTTACAGACCTCTAGGACCATGAGTCGAACATGCCCAGCGAGTTTCGTTTTGATCACTCATCGTTAACCTTGTTAAATGGCTGCTCAATTTTAATTGGCCAATGGCGGCCATGTTTTTTGAGATATGCCAATGTCCTTATAGTATGTTATGACAACTTGGTTAAAGACACTGCATGCCAAATTTCAAGCTGATCGGACGAATGGCTGTAAGGTTAGAGTAATTTTTATGTTTTTTTAGCTTTATAGCGCCACCATGTGGCCAAAGTCTGCGGGTTTTGCAGTGTCACCTCAAATTGAGCTTATGCATGTCTGTAGCAAGTTTGGTGATGATATCTCATTTCGTTCAAAAGTTATAGCTCCAATTAGCATTTAGCTTCAATTAGCGTCGAACATTGTTGTGTACTGTTTCGAGTGAGAATAAAAATGTCAACTTTTTTTTGATAATTATTGATATTCAGTGTCCAGAGAACATTTGAGAGCTGGTTTGGTTTAGATTGAGTGTAAAACCTAGGACTAGTTCGCAAAAGTAGGTTTCGGACAAATCGCGATGTAGCGGGAAAACGGTGCGTCGTAGAGCAAAAATTTCTGGTATACACTTTTGTTCAGGTTAACCCAAGGATTCAAAAAATGTAAAGTTTTTGAGTCTACGACAAACGGTGAACGAATAGCGGCCAAAAATGTCCGAAAAGTGTTTTTTTGGCGCCATAGCGCCACCTATGGTCTGATTTGGCTGATCTTTGGCCAGAACGTAGTGTACCGGGGTACTACCATCTGGCCAAGTTTCAGCTCTCTCGGCCTTACGGTTTGGTCTGGGCAATAGTGACTTCGGCAGAATAATAATAATAATAATAATAAAAATCCTTACAAATACAATAGGGTTTCAGCGCTTCGCGCTTGACCCCCTAAATATAGCTGCAAGCAGCAATTAACGGGGGTCAAGCAGTTTAGCAGGGTAAGGTCATATAGCAGTTAGGACGCCTGTAAGTAGTTTATTCGACAACGAAATATACGATTAGAGTGTTAAAGTTTATAGATTGAGCTAACAAATGTTTGATTAAACACTCCAGAGAAGCAACTTCGATTTTTACATATTGCCAAATTTTTAATGAACATTTCGAGGGACCGTTTTTATGTCAAAGCGTTCAGTATAAGCAGCCCTAAGATATAATGTGTAGATCGAGTCATGGCACCTTAGACAAAGACACGACATGTCAAATTTCTAGTTAATCAGATAAATGGTTACTCGGATACAGTGATTTTACAATGTATAGCGCCACCATGTGGCCAATGTCTACGAGTTTCATGCTATGACCTCTGATTAACCTCTTGCATATGTGTAACAAGTTTGGTGTATATTTCAATCCATTCATGAGTTTTGGCTATTTTAGCTCTTCCCAACAAAAATGACAAAACTATATAACTATATAAACTAATAATTTTGTGTTTTATTAAAAGAATTTAAAAATCTACAGAGTAAAAGGTGTGACAAGCTTTGACAAAATTTAATCTTAAATGCATTATTGTGTTCAGTTCTTGTCAATTTGGGATTCAGAATGCATTACATTACATTACATTCTTTGCTACAGAGCAGTAAAATAAACTATAAACTATAAGTGGACTGTTACTGCCATCTAGTGGACACAGTTGTGATTTTCTTTACAAATGTTTTAAAACTAGGTGTTTAATTATAGAACCAGTTTTGCCTATTAGAATTATTACACAGGGGTTAACTGTGACCAAATTAGATGTTTAATGCATAACAGTGTTTACATCAGGTCAAACTGTGATTCAGAATGATCCTAAATGCAATTTCCCTGACTTTAAACTCAAAAAAATGTAAAACAACAAAGGTATGCAAATGTTATGAACAATAAATAAGTGGTCTTGTGGTGACATCTAGTGGTTAAAAATGGTAGGTGACAGTTAAAAGTCTATGTTATAGTGGCTAAAATGATAGAATACTGAAAATATGTGTTTTTAAGACATTTAAACATCCAAGATGGGCAAAAAAACAACAACTTGTAAATCATTTCAGTGATAGGTGTGTAAATGAAGCACATTTACTGCATTTTTAAGCCATTTTATGATGTTTTTAGAACCATTTCTACTATTATAGCGCCACCTATTGCCCGATCACCACAAAATTTTGCATGTTTATTCGCATTGATATGCCACATGTGCTCATCAATTTCTGTGATGTTTTGGGTTTTTCTTATTGTTTAACAGGCATGTAGGTTCGTGTAGACACGCCCCTTTTGTAAATGAGCCTGTTACAGCTATCTAAAATGGAAAGTTCAACTTTTTTTTGATAATTATTGATCTACTCAGTCCAGAGGTTCATTTAACACTGGTTTCGTTGCGATTGAGTTAAAAACCAAAGACTAGTTCGCAAAAGTAGGTTTTGTTTATATTGATGTTTTTTTAATGATCGGTGTGAGTGACAGCAGTGGTTTTAGTCTCAAACTGTTCAGTATAAGCAGACCTATCATATGATATGTAGATTAAGTGTTTTTTGTGAAATAGTGTTTAAATGAAGCACATTTACTTTATTTTTAAGCCATTTGGCATGTTTTTAAGACTATTTTTGCAATTATAGCGCCACCTATGGTTTGATCTTCACAAAATTTTGCAGGTGTCTTCTCATTAAAATGGCACATGTGCTAACCAATTTCTGTGATGTTGTGAGTTTTCCTTATTGGTTTAGAGGCATGTAGGTTCGTGTGGACACGCCCCTTTTGTAAATTAGCCTGTTACAGCTAGCCGAAGTGAAAAGTTCAACTTTTTTTTGATAATTATTGATCTACATAGTCCAGAGATTCTAACAACACTGGTTTCGTTGCGATTGAGTGAAAAACCAGGGACTAGTTCGCAAAAGTAGGTTTTTCATATGTTGATAAATATTTAATAAACGGTGCGAGTGACAGCAGTGGTTTGAGTGTCAAACTGTTCGGTAGAAGCAGGCCTATCATATGATATGTATTTTGTGTGGTTTTGCAAAAGGTTGTGTGATATACAACCCATTACACCTTAAAATTGCGTAAAATCGCCCCCTAGTGGCCGATTTCTTTCAAAATTCTTACAGACCTCTAGGTCCATAAGTCGAACATACCCAGCGAGTTTCGTTCTGATCGCTGATCATTAACCTTGCTAAATGGCTGCACAATTTTAATTGGCTAATGGCGGCCATGTTTTTTGAGATGTGCCATTGTCCTTATAATATATCATGGCAAACTGATCAAAGACAATGCATGACAAATTTCAAGCTGATCGGACAAACGGTTGTAAGGTTAGGGTCATTTTATGGTTTTTAAGTTTTATAGCGCCACCATGCGGCCAAAGTCCGCTGTTTTTGAACTGTCACATCAAATTGAGCTTATACATGTGTGTACCAAGTTTGGTGATGATATCTCATTTCGTTCAAAAGTTATAGCTCCAATTAGCATTTAGCTTCAATAAGCATTGAACATTGTTGTGTACTGTTTCGAGTGAGAATAAAAATTTCAACTTTTTTTTGATAATTATTGATATTCAGTGTCTAGAGAACATTTGAGAGTTGGTTTGGTTTAGATTGAGTGAAAAACCTAGGACTAGTTCGCAAAAGTAGGTTTCGGATAAATCGCGATGTAGCGGGAAAACGGTGCGTCGTAGAGCAAAAATTTCTGCTATACACTTTTGTTCAGGTTAAGCGAAGGATTCAAAAAATGTAAAGTTTTTGAGTCTACGACAAACGGTGAACGAATAGCGGCCAAAAATGTCCAAAAAGTGTTTTTTTGGCGCCATAGCGCCACCTATGGTCTGATTTGGCTGATCTTTGGCCAGAACGTAGTGTACCGGGGTACTACCTTCTGGCCAAGTTTCAGCTCTCTCGGCCTTACGGTTTGGCCTGGGCAATAGTGACTTCGGCAGAATAATAATAATAATAATAATAATAAAAATCTTAACAAAAACAATAGGGTTTCAGCGCTTCGCGCTTGACCCCCTAAAAATCCTTACAAATACAATAGGGTTTCAGCGCTTCGCGCTTGACCCCCTAAAAACCTCAGGGATTTGACTAACTTAAGAAAAAAGAGAATTTGCCTGTCAGTTTTCAGACAGACAGACTCGCATCATCCAGATTCTCCTTTTGTGCTTCTGTTGCTGTATGAGGCTCCGTTTTATCTTCTGAACTTATGCCAAAAATGACATTCGTCCTTTTGAGCACAAAAACGCCAGCATGCAGTCCTCCCACATTCACCCAAACAGTGTGTAGTTTTTTCCACAGTCCTCCCATCTGCAGCAGAGCCTACAAATGACAGTAAAAGTAAATATTTATGAGGTTATTTTGATCTTCACGTTGATTTCATAGAAGAAAACAAAGTAAGACTTCACAATAGAGATTTAACTGTAGTATTGTTTATTATTTTCAATATGTCCTTTTTTTGCACTTGGAACTAAACATCAACAAACACTAATAAATAATTTAATTGTATAATTAAAAAATAATAAATAAAGGAACACTTGATAATAAAACCACATTTTTACAAAGAATCTAAAGTCAAACATTTGATTTGAACCATTTTTGAATCCATTTATTTTTGTTCTGATGGGGTCACATTTAGCTTAGCCTAGCACAATGAATTAAATCAGATTTGACCATTGTCTGGTTCAATAATGATGTTGAACCTTCAATTGAACCTTCAATCTTCACCTCTTACATGAGACTGAGGAAACAATGGTGTTTGACGCTCACGGTATGGTCATTTCTATGTGCTGGACTCTTATTAATCATCTATTCGGGCAAATTAATTTATTAGATGGCACATTTAAACCTAAACTAATCATTAATAAGCTACAAAAGGTTTAAGCTAAGTACAAGTGTTCGTAGTGAGCTGTGTTTGCAATAGGTGTGTTCAACTTCATGAAGTGCAGTCTTAAATCAGTGCTTGCCAGTTAGAAAATTTGTCCAGCCATGTGACTGTCACATGTGGAATCAAAAAACCACGACAGTGCTCCAAAATCAGACAACTTATTCAGCTGGTGCAACATCTAAAAAGTGACTGCAGGAACTGCAATATTACACTGATATTACACGATTGGCTGGATTCACCGCATGACAACAATCACATGTGTTTCGGATTTATTATCGGACACATTTCCAAACAAACTATTTTCATTTTATGCAATTAATATTTTGTACACGTTGTTTTGAAATTCTCTAGTCTGGCTCACAGCACCAAACTGTTGTGAAATTCTTAAACGAGCCCAAAAAAACAGGGAGAACTTTTAGTATCTTCAAAGCAGAATCCTTTTATTAAGAAGAACTCAGTGTGGCTGTGGCGTCATCGAAATAAACTCTCAATTGGTACAACAGAACAGACCCTCAGTTTATATACATTTGATACATGTGGGTGGGGACAGTCATGGTGGGGACCACGGATGCAACAATACAGTTAGCCCACAGTTTAATACATACCTTGGTTTTTTAACACTGTTTTCGGTTCGGTTCTCATGGCTTGACACATGTTTTTTTTATTCTTTAGGCAATAGGAACAGTAAGAGGTTAAGGAGAAAAAAATAAAATCGATTTATTGCAATACTCATTTTGTTTTACTTAAAAGCCAAGAAAAGTACACTAGTTCCTATTTTTTTATAAAAAAAATAACACTGAAATCTCAAACATACATATTTGTACTTAAGTAAACATAAATAAACCATCTTAATTATCTCGGTGCTGAAAAAATGCGAGACTGTAGTCTGTAACGCGCATCGAGTGCTTTTATAAAATGACAAAAGCCCACATCTCCCATCACTGCAAACGGCTGCAAATCTTTAGCAATGAACACCTGCACTGCCTTTGTAATTTTTATGTCTCTCAGAACCAGTTGGCTATGTTTGCTTGAAAGATTTAGCGAGTAATTGTTGCTATTTGGAGGACTTTATTACCTTCTCTGCTATCCTGCCATCAGACAGTGATATTGCTGGGTGATGGTGTTGCAGATGTGCAGTCATGGTTATGCGTGTAAAACAATGCTTGCACACAGTTATTTTTTGTTCACGTTTTTTCGGCAACACCGAAATGTCCTCACACTGCAGATTTGAAAGACGACAGCCTTCACCACCTATCGCAATGTTAAAGTGTGGAATGATGGTCAAGCGCCCCCTATCTTTAGAGTATAGTTATTGGATATTTACTCGTGAAGAAGGGTTTCCTCATCTCAGCTTATGGATTTAGAGGCACACACAGTCATTTCGGGGAGATATAAAACGCACATAAATTATTTAAACGCAAAACCGAGAAAATCGCAATTCACCAGTGCGTATTGAACCGTAGAGGTCGTACCGCAAGGTTCAATATTATATTGAGAACTGTGGCATCCCTAGTGGGGACAGTCAAACAAAGCATGCAAATAAAGTGTTGTTGTCGGCAGGGTAACATGCCTTTCCAGGCCCGATCTCATCAGCACATAAGTACCAATTCATGAAACATTTTAGCATTTAAACAGTGTGCAAATGATGTTCTGGAGACAGAGAAGACAATAGATACAGCTGTGCTTTAAAACTGATCATTTGCATTACTTTGGAGACAGTCAAGGCTCAGGAGACCAAGACATTTTAAGGTCTGTCTCATACTTAAAACAACTTTTCAGTTATATATAGATAATATAAATTTATATTCCCACAACATCATGTTTATTAAAAGACTCCAAGTGTTTTACTGCAGCCATCATCTTTTTTTTAAATAATTTGTTTATAAAGGCTAGATTGTTTGCAAAGGTATATTTTCGACCATTTCCATACAGACCATTTAATGTATTCAGCTCCATAAATGATTTAAATTATATTTAAGTAATTAACCAAATAGCAACTCAAATAAGTCTTATAGACTTGTAATATAAGAGTAATGGTTGATCATGCCACAAATAATTATTTTAGAAATTAGTCTAAATAAATTTCTAAAATAATGCATATATTTATAAAAGAAATTTATCCTCTCAAGGCGTTTATAAATGGATATACTGTATATTGCTGTCTGCAAAATTTGTACTAAAATGGTAGCTCACTTATTTTTGGAAATAAGCTCACTTATTTTTGGAAATTCTTGTTCAATCCTTTTGGATTAATGTCATACTTTCATTATCCAAAATTATTTCAATTATTTATATTACTTGATAGGTTCGTGTGGGTTTCCTTCACATGTTCCAGTTTCCCCAACAGTCCAAAGACATACGGTACAGGTGAACTGGGTAGGCTAAATTGACCCTTCGCTAAGCCACACCCAAATACCGCCACCCACCAATCGTGGCTTAGCAACTGTAGCTACGCGCAGGGGCTTTGTCAAGCTTTCGAGAAAGTTTGGACAGGATGGTGGAATTTTTATCCTATTCAAATTCTAAAACCCGAGAGGAGAAATGCCAGCGTGGAATCAAACTGTGTGAGGGCGCTTAAAAAGTTGGTTTTGTTTCGATATTTCTGACACATTCGTAATAGGCCGACGGCAATAACTCACACACCTCTTACCCTAACACATCTAAACTCTTGTGTTTCCTACAGAATTACAAAGCTGGGTATGTTTCACAGCTATCTTATTCCTTTTTTTTCGCTTGATATTGTGAGTAACGCTCCGTTTAAGCCTTCGCCATAATGTTAGTAACTTATTCATACTAATAGCGAATCGGTCATAATGACATGAGTTATTGATCCGGAAAATACGATTCTGCTAATCTGTTGCTAACTTTACTGAACTTCATATTTCCATCTATTTCAAGCTACGAATATTTGAAATTACAAATCAACAGAACAAAACCGAGATATGATCACAAACTGAGCACTTGCAATCAATATACTTTACCAGCAGCTGTTTTTCATTCATTTATAAAGAGCACACAAACATACTGACAGTTATAGGTAACTCACTGTACATTGTTATGGGTCAATGATGCTAATATTTGGCACAAATCCATCAGTTTCCCCTTTCTGGCTGTTTCTATGAATGAACTATGTAAAAGCAGTGTCCATGCGTGTTTCCTCGTCGGTTTGTAGCGCTATATTTCATTGCACAACAATTAATCTACCACGCGTTTTGGCTAAAAAGAGAGAAATCACAATTTCATTAGTTATAACCTGCTGAGCATGAGCTAAGCTGCTGAATAGTTAGCGTATGAGGCGGCTAGGCTAAGTAGCTTCAATTTTGATTGAATTATCGGTTGCCTATTATGTGGTGAATATACCCCTGTATTGCATACTGCAGTCCTTTTTTGTCTGGCTTTCTCGGATATCTCACCTGTTCGCCAAAAATGACATTATATCCCTGGCAATGTCTGACACCGGCGCACACACATTGAAAAAGCTGTTGCAGGCACGAAAGCTTGACAGGCATAGCAGAAGTAACTAAGGAGGACGGCGCTTAGAGAAGGGTCCATTGTCCGTTGTGAATGAGTGTGTATGGATGTTTCCCAGAGATGGGTTGCAGGTGTAAGGTCATCCGCTGCGTAAAACATATGCTGTATATGTTTGCAGTTCATTCCGTTGTGGTGACTTCAGATTAATAAATGGACTAAGCCAAAAAGAAAATGAATGAATGAATGAATTTATAAATATATAATGCAAGTTTTTGTATAAACCACATTATTTATTGGAAAATATATTATCCATAAATTTAAATAAATGTAAAGCCCTTTGTAGCACATTCAAACAAGAACTGGAACAGTATTAACATATCATTCATCATTTAGTAGCATAAAGAGTGTTTAACTCTTAGAATTTCTGCTTATTGCTTAGTTTACTAGACCTATTCATTGATATTTAGTTCCTTTTCATGTACCCTCTTCCAGTTTCCCCTAATTTTTCTGATTATACTTTTGTTATAGCCTACTTAACTGTAATTAATAATTGTAACTCTTTTGTTGTTGTTGCAATAAATAAATAAATCAATAAATCATGCTATGTGATCTGGCATCATACAGCAAACTACGAGCTCTGAAGTGTCCGAGCTGATGGGCTCATTTTCAACTCTGCTCCGCCTGCGCTCAGCTAATCTCGTTGATTTCTGACTGCAGCTGTGCTTCATGTCGAATGCACCTATTGATTTTATGAGATATCATTTTCAGAATTGTAATAAATGTAAACACATTTACAAGGCGGAAATAAACACAGCTGTTGAAGCTAAAGTTTAAGGAGCTGACTTAAAGAAAATATTAGTGCAAATGAATCAACTCATTTTAATAATAAAAAATGAACAAATCTTTGGTGAAAATTAAAAAAATTTAAATTGATAAATGAGAAAAATACTCTTAAAAATAAATAGCAATTATCTAAATAACAAGCACCGTTTTCAAATAAACTGTATTCTTTGTTGGTTGAATAATCTATGCTAAGCTAAGCTAAAAGTTCTCCAAAAAGACCCAATGATAGGCTCAATGGATTCAAAACTGGTAAAACTCAATTGTTTACACCTAAGAGAATTATAAAATGAGCCTATTCTCAAAAAAGTTAAGTGGTACTCATTGTTAGTTTACAGTATGTTGTTTAATACATCACATAATGCTAGCAAATAATACCTCATTAAAAGGTAATTCTGTTACAAGATTCCTAATTCATTGAAACTAACTAAAAATATCTGCAATTCATGAAAAGGCCAGGAAATACAACATTTAAAAAATGTCATTAAAAAAAAGAAAAAAAAAAAGAACTGCACTCCCAAGAATAATCATTTCGAAGAAGTCAAAGTAGCCATACCTTTGTGAAGCACTTTTTATCCTGAGTCAGCAAAGCAGCTTTTCCTGTTCCTGGTTTACAAACTCGAGCCATTTCTCGAAGACATAAAGGGTATAACTCCCAGTTCTTCTTCCTGGACCCCACTCTTTAATAAAGCACACAGACAACAAACAGTTAAGTCAGTTTATGGACAGAACGTTTAAAAATAGAATAACTGATGGCAGAAAAACAATTACACATTTTTATGCTTGAGGCAAACTACAATGACTTACTAGGGATGCTCATTTTGGTTAATTTTGCCAACCGACAACCACCAAATATTAAACGTTAACTGGTGAGATTAATATTAAATTATTATTTCATTTTTAAAAAATTGACATGTCTAATTTTTGTCTGACACATTAAATATTGCATTTTAAAACACTGATTCATTTTAACATGCGAACATATTAACAACAGCACATAACAACAGCATCTTCACGCACCTGCAGTGTTTGCAACAGCCTCGAACAAAAAAGAATAAACTAAATAAAAGAATAAAATAACTAAGCCTGCCCTAGATATTTTTCATTTAAATGACATGTTTAGATTACTAAACGAAAACACTGACTGAATCCTTTTTGAGAACAAACATAGGCTGTTTTTTTCTCCATCATGTTTTTGTTCTTCCATCAAATAAAAAGAGCAGGCTACCTCAAATCTATTGCTCCATGGAAAATAATTTTTATAGAAGCCATTATTTTAAAGATTATGGGCTCTATTTTGACGGTCCATGCGCAAAACGGAAAGCGCAGGGCGCAAACGCTTTTAGGGCGTGTCAGAATCTATATCTGCTAATTTAAGGACGGGAAAACCTGCTTTGCGCTGTGGCGCATGGTCTAAAAGGGTTAAGTTTATTTTCTTAACGAGTTATAGGTGTGTTTTGAAAATAAACCAATCAGAGTCTCATCTCCCATTCCCTTTAGGAGCCAGCTGCGTAGCGCCATAAGAGCATTTGCTATTTACATGGAAGTAAGTGTAAGTGGAGAGTAAGTGGACGTGGAAAAACTTAGCATTTCACAAGCAAACAGTTAACAGTTTTTTTTAAAAAGAAAACAGTTAAACAGAGCATCTACCGCGCAAGAATGAGAGATAATCAATCTACTTTCACTTTCGCTCTCGTGGATAGGGAAACCTTTACGCACAGACATCAATTAGCCTATAAATAATTAATTTTGTTTGTTAAGCGGAAAGATTTGTTTCAAAACTATTTTCTAAATTCAGTTCTAATTTCCAGCATATGAATAAATAAACAATAATAACAAAGTGTGTTCAAAAAACGGAGTTATAATACACATGCTGTGCCCCATATGGTCTAAAACCTGCAGGTGGGCAATATAAGCTTGTTTTTAATAAAACAAATATAAATATGGATATAATAAATAATACTGCTAATAATAATAACATTATACAAAAGCAAATTGTTATGAATAAACTGAAAAAGCCTCCCGAGATGAAGAAAGTATAAAAGTAGTGGTTTAAATATTTATGTAGGCTAGAAAATAATATGTTTTGTAATATTTTAATCCTTTATATTTATATCCTATACATATATTCTTATTATAGCATATATATAGGCCTACCCTTAATATGTAAAATATTTGCGTATTGCTCTACATCTTGTGTGTAGGCTATTAAGCAGTGTGTAAGCGAGGCGCAACTCTGCTTTAAAGTTTAGACCGGGTTTGTTTTGGTCTAATGAAAAATCTATTATAGTTTCTCAAAATAGCAACGCACCAGTAGTGCGCCTCAGAACGCCTGCCTTTTGACACACATATGGCACATATGAGCGCAAATGCATTTGCTATTTAAACAGCGTGGTGCAAGGCCTCAATAACTCTTGCGCCAAGCTGAAACTAGCAAACAAGTATTGCGACGCGCCTTGTGCTGGGTGTATGATAGGGCCCAATGTCTTGAGCATCATTTTACTTTAGAGATTGCGTGCTTTTATTTCCTCTCTCACTCGCGGTTCATGTGCGCATGCTGCGTGTGATGAAAGACAATGACAAGGAGAGCATATGTTGACTTTGTGTAAAGCATAGGCTACTATAGCATATAACACTTTTGTTGTTTTCATATGATATTGCATTAATTTGCATACATGTTTAATAAGCTATAAAATAAAAGTCTCAGTTTGGTGTGGAGTTATCATTGTACAAAAATCTTTAGATTTGTTTGAGTCATAGATTATGTAGGCTATTTTAAAAGTGGATATTTAATAAGAACTATTAATAACTGTAATTTTACAAATGAAAAAAGGTTGGTTTGTTGATTATACACTAAATCATCACAAATATAGCCTATTTGTTGTGCTTATGAGCAATGCCGGAGTGTGCTCTGATGGAGAGATAATCCAGACTCTCCGAATTGGGGCCGGCTTGTTTCCGAAGCAGAGGCAATCAACATCAGCACTGTTTGGCATCAACTCGTCTGTCAAACTGTGACCAGCAAAATTCTACTTTCATTTGGCTTCTTCAGCAAAATATGTATGTAGTATGTTGTGATTTAATATATATGTGTTGCACATTTATGCAGCCAATTAAAATATTAACTAATATTTTTTAATTACTTAACTGATACCATTAAGCGGTTAAAACGCACTCTTTCAGTTATTGGTGAATCGGTTATTATGAGCATTCCGATGACCTGCAATGTTTTATACTATACATAATTATTGTACAATTGTTTTACAGCTACTTAAGTCTGTCAGTACCTCTTTCCAAAAGGCATGTCAGTGATGATGATGTCCACTGAACTGCTTCTCATGGGCAAATTGCACAAGTCCCACTGCACAATGTCTAAGGGCAAGCCCGAGGGGCTATAAATAGAAAATAAGACATAGCAAGCACTTCAACTTTTTTTTCATTGTGACACAATAAAATTTGGGTCTATCAGAATAATTGTTATTAAATAAAAGGATTTAAGTAATAAAAAGATATAAAAAGTAATAAAAAATAAAAGCAAAAAAAGGTATTGTCTTTTTCAGTATTTAAGTTTATTTCTTTTATGAAATCCTTTTTGTTCATTCTTACAGAATACCTACCCATTTAAATAAGTATCTAATGAAATATAAACACTCACTGGCCACTTTATTAGGTACACTAGGTACATCATACTAATGTGATGGTCATGTCGTTTATTAGGCAAATACTTTGTTGATGCCATAAAAGAATGGCCAGACTGGTTCGAGCTGATAAAAAGGCAACAGTAACTCAAATAACCACTCGTTACAATCCAGGTATGCAGAGGAGCATCTCTGAATGCACAACTCGTCGAATCTTGAGGCAGATGGGCTACAGCAGCAAAAGACCACACCTGGTGCCACTTTTGTCAGCTAAGAACAAAAAACTGAGGCTACAATTAGCAAAGGCTCACCAAAATTGGACAACAGAAGATTGGAAAAACGTTGCCTGCTGATGAGTCTCTTTTCTGCTGCGACATTCGGACAGTCAGAATTTGGCGTCAACAACGTGGAAGCATGGATCCATCCTGCCTAGTCTCAATGGTTCAAGTAGGTGGTGGTGGTGTAGGGATATTTTCTTGGTACACTTTGGGCCCATTAGTACCCATTGAGCATTGTGTCAACACCACAGCCAAACTGAGGCCCCGTTTACACTAATGCGTTTTAGTTTGAAAACGCATAAGTTTTGCTAAGGTTACGCCAACCGTCCACACTACGCCGGAGTTCTCGAGCGCCGAAAACGGAGCGTTTCGAAAACGCTGAAGAGGCCGTTTTCATTCTGAAACGCTGCTGCTCCGTCTCAGTGTGGATGATGGAAAACGGAGACATCTGAAAACGGAGGCGGGGCTGCAGACATTCGCCTCTCTGATTGGGGCTTTTCCTGAATATTAAGTAGCCTAACACACAGTTCAGTCCTGCATTCTCTCCTTGTAAGTTCAGACTTCGCAAGTTTGATCAAGGCTGCAGTCTCTTCTTCTCAGTTTGATATGGAAAACAGACTATACCGAGGACACGGGTAAATCTTCAAAGGGAACAGTGTACTTTATAACTTCATTCACATCACCCTGGCTACGTTGTTTCACTTTCTCAACAATAAAATGTAAACATGATTTAAGGAACTGCCTATTTTCATTTTAATATTAGCAACTTAGACAGCAGAAATGTTGAGGCGCCGTGCTGCATATATAAGCGTCATCTTCACTGTGTGGAAATTTATAACAAAACGAAGCCGATAACAACTGCCTCCTTTCAATTTCAGTGAAAATACGAAACATACCCTCTCTTTTGCTGAATATCAGTTTTAATAATCGATAATGACTATTATAAAAGTATAACATACAATAAGTTTATACATTATAGGAAATAAAGGCAAGCGATCAGTCAATATGCAGAATAGGCTACGTGGTTACATTAATCATTAACTTATCTTTGCGCTCAACCAAAACACGTTACCTGAGGATAAAGTAATAGATTCCAATGACCAAAGTCAGGGAATATGTCGTTAGATAAAGACAACAAGATGAATGAAATATCAGGTTTAATAAATATAGTGAGATTAGATCCAGCGGGAGATGCTTGATGAGAAGTCCGACTAGCAGAGCTCTCATCTGGGTAGATGGGCTGCAGTGCTTGCCCGAGAGTGTCTGTGTGGTCACGTGATGTGCGTTTTCAGCGTTTTGGTGTGGACGGAGAGCAGTTCAGAAACGCTGGGTAAAACGCGAGTGTGGACGCGGATCGTTTTCATTCTAAAACGCCGTTTTAAAACTAAAACGCACTAGTGTAAACGGGGCCTGAGTATTGTTGCGGACCATGTCCATCCCTTTTCAACCACAGTCTACCCATCTTCTGATGGCTACTTCCAGCAGGATAACGCGCCATGTCATAAAGCGTGAATCATCTCAGACTGGTTTCTTGAACATGACAATGGGTTCACTGTACTCAAATGGTCTACACAGTCACCAGCTCTCAATCTGATAGAGCACCTTCGGGATATGGTGGAATGGGAGATTCGCATTATGGATGTGCAGCCAACAAATCTGCAGCGACTGTGTGATGCTATCATGTTAATGTGGACCAAAATCTGAGGAATATTTCTAGTACCTTGTTGAATCTATGCCACAAAGTATTAGGACAGTTCTGAAGGCAAAAGTAAGATGCATCTAATAAGGTGACCAGTAATATATATTGTTACCATGAAAAAAAAAAACTCACACCATGAAATTTTGGACATATACTACGCACAAAAATATAATGTACCCATGTATTATGCAAAAGGAGATAGAAAAACAAAGTAAATGTTGCCTTTACATTTAACTGGGCCAAAAATGACATAGATCTACTAAATTTACTGAACGCTAAGGACATATACAAAAAGCACTAATGAAAATATCAAACTATTTAAGTTAAAAAATTTCAAATTAATTAGAATAATACTAAAACAACACTTACAAAATGATTCCAAAAAGTTTACAGGACACGATCAAAAGCCTCACCTTCCTCCATCCTGTGTTTTCTTCAGAATGTGCTTGATATTGTTGACTGATCGGCTGACTGCTGTGCCGTTGTTGTCTCCAGCTATAAAGAATGAATTCTGCCATTCCATAGCTCCCTAAAACAAAGATTTTTGATAATATTTCAGACACAGAAGTATAATGACAGAAGGAAAAGAGAGTTTTGAATTTATTGGCACATCAGCTTCTCTCATGGCAAAACCAGATCAAATTTACATTTTATAAATCTCACTTTTCTACAATAAAAAACTATAATGACAAACAGATATCAACAGCACTACATAAGCTAAAATACATTAGATAAAATCTTATGTTTTTAAGGTTTACTGTTTACTTTGATAAAAATTGTAGTTTTTGAATTTATTTAAAAAAAATATTTCCTTTAAAGACTCTCCAGACAAAAATCGTTGTCTGATTACATTTAAAATAGGCCATTCCAAAAGTATATGTTTAACACTTTAGTTTCTGTTTATAATGACAGAGGACTACATGCAAATTCGTTGATCACTTTAGTCAGAATTCTACAAACCTCCAAAGGTATAGCTCCTGTTCCACACATGGGATCTACAATCACATCTGAAACCTGTGGCTTGCAAAGTCTGAGAAGTAAAAAAAATCAGTCGTTATAGTCATAGATATAATTGTTTGTAAAGTTTTACAAAAATGATTACTTCTCCCAATTCTGTTATTAATTACTAACCCTCATGTCGTTCCAATCCCCTGAGACCTTCACTGATTCATTGTCAGAACATAAATTAAGATATTTAGAGTTCTCATTATCCAGACAACAATGATCCCAAGTTGTTTAAAGTCCTGAAAAGGAACCGAAAACATTGTCAAAACATTCCATGTGTCTTCAGTGTTTTAACTGTCATCATGTGAAGCTCAAAGAACACTTGTGAGAAAAAAAGCCAAATAACTTTGTTTGCCAATGTCTTCTACATAAGATCAGGTAGCAGGTTGTGCTGCAGACTCTAATGGCAATAAATCGTAAATGCACACCCAGGACCTGTCGTGGGAGAAAAAAATAGGGGCAAACAAATTCATATTTACATTTGTTGTTGTTGTTTGTCGCACAAAAGTGTTCTTGGAGCTTCAAATGATCACAATGGATCCATCACACAAGTCACATTGAATGTTTTGACTTTTCTGGTTCCCTTTCTAAACTTTGAATGATATGGGGCAGTTCCTGTCTATGGAGGATGAGGAATTTCTCAGATTTGATCTAAAATATCTCAATTCATGTTCTGAAGTTGTCTCAGAAGATTGAACCGAGATAATTTTTGGGTAAACTAAGCCTTTAAAAGCTTTTATATCCTTGAATGCCTCCTCAAATGTGTCGTTTTGGATAAAAGTGTCTGCTATATGACTAATTGTAAATAAATGAACAAGACACAAAGTCAAAACCCCTTTAAAAGAGTTAATGCAATATTTATATCAATAAAAAAGACTAATGTTTTAAGCTGCAATGAATGATGCTGGTTGTTAACAAAAATTGTTGCTTGTGAGTGAACTGTATGAATGTGTCCTTTCAATAATGACAAGATGCAAAAGACATACCCGTTTGGCATGTAGTAGAGTTTTGCTATAATTTGTACTCATAAAATGGTGTTTAGTGGTGTCTTTATATAGACAGGCTAATTATACTAACAGTAGTGGTTAAAAGCAAGAAAAATGCTTTTAACTTTTATCAATAAACTTGTATTTTCAAACATACTGATGTTACAGTAGGTTCATGTTGTTAATGACTTTCAAATCATATAGCAGCTTTGCTTAGATAGTAAAAGTTTAATATTTGCTAATACAAAGAAATCTTCTTATTCCAAAATATGCTGGAGATTGGCTGCTAAGGAAATACAAAAACAGCCAATCAATTTTTACTGCACTAGATGTATGCTTCCAGTGTATACCATAATGGCATGAGTGTTTTTGCTTGTCTGTGATGTATTTTTGCATTAGTAAAACCCATATTTTTTTATCAATAATTTTGTATGTTGAGTTTAAATAAGTTTTTATTGTAATACTTCCCTCTTAATATTCTTAAATTGCCTTAATACAACAATTGTAACTAAATGAAACATTTGTCAATAAAATGTTCTGTCTGGCTGTTGATGGTGTGATGCTTTACAGGAATATCACTGACCTAAGCATGCCATAAGCCAGTGTAGAGCGCAGAGTTGTGGGACCGAAGTGAGTGATGTTTCTCCTATGCAGACTCTCCACGGTAAGCGCAATGCCAACCACAACTTCATTATTGTGGATATTTAACAGCACCTAGTAAATAAGAGAAAAACTGAATTATTAGCCCTCCTGTTAAATTTGAGTTCTTTTATATATTCCCCAAAATTGTTAAACAGAGAGAAGAATTTTTTACCTCTTTCTAAACATAATAGTTTTAATAACTAATTTCTAAAAACTGTTTTCTTTTATCTTTGCCATGATGACAGTAAATAATATTTGACAACATATTTCCTAAGATATTAGTATTCAGCTTAAAGTGCAATTTAAAGGCACAAGGTTAATTAGATTAACTAGGCAAGTTATCGTAATTAGGCAAGTGTTTAGCTGTGTCTCATTTCAGAGGCTGCATCCTCCGCAGAATGCATTCCAAGGGCACTGCGTCATCGAAAGGCCGTCTCATTTAAAAAAAATTTGAAGGCTTCTTCTAATGCAGCCACAAAATGTGTCCTTCGTTTTCCAGATAATGAAGGACACAAACAGTAGATCCTTTGCCGCCTCGAACATCCCAATATTAATTGCGCTCTGATAACGGTAGAAAGAAAACTTTGGATGAATTAGGTTTAGTTTACGTGCATATCTAAACACGTTAAAGAAGAAAAATAGTATGAAATGTCTAACTAAGAGTGATTTTTTAGAGAGTTTACATTTTTATGGGTACATGTATGGATTAAAGAAAATATTTCGAGCTGCTGTAAACCTTGCTTTGCCTTCAGATCGCTTAAAATAAGTTTGAAAATAACTTTGAAAAAATTTAGGGCAGCTGTTATGGTTGCTAGATGACTAGATCCATCCTCTGTAGGCTAGATCGTCTCATTTCAAAATGCATTTGTTTGGCTTGTGTGGACTTCGAAGTACTCACCTTTAAAGTCTGCATCCTTCAGAGGATGCAGCTATTGTATAACAGTGGTTTGTTCTGTAGACAATCGAAAAAATAAATGTATATTGCTTAAAGAGTGGGCAATGCGGTGGCGCAGTAGGTAGTGCTGTCGCCTCACAGCAAGAAGGTCGCTGATTCGAGCCTTGGTTGGTGTTTCTGTGTGGACTGCATGTTCTCCCCACGTTCGCGTGGGTTTCCCCCGGGTGCTCCGGTTTTCCCCACAGTCCAAAGACATGCAGTACAGATAAACAGAGCAGGGTAAATTATCCGTAGTGTGAATGATTGTGTATGGATGTTTCCCAATAATGGGTTACAGCTGGAAGGGCATCTGCTGCGTAAAAAATGTGCTGGATAAGTTGACTAAGACTAAGCCGAAAAGAAAATGAATAAACGAATGCATAAGAAGCAATAATAATATTGACCCTAAAATGTTTTTTTTTATTAAACTGCCTTTATGCTAGCTTAAATAAAACAAATAAAAAAAATATTATAGAAAACACTGAAAAATTCCTTGCCTTATTAAAAATCATTTGGGAAGAAAAAAAGTAAAATCGCAAGAGCTAATAATTTTGACTTATAGTGATACAATCGCTATTTTCATTCACTATCACTAGCGTACATATTTTCTTAGGTCCTAAAATTGACCATAGTTGTTTATTTAAGCTGTGAATATTTCAACAAAAAATATTTCACACACATTTTCAAACTTAATTCAATACTTCATATTCACCTTCCAGAATGCACTTGATGATGTATAATATTCAAAAGTTTCAAAAATTTGCTTTCATAAATTCAGTGGTTCAAATTTTAATATTAATGTTTTGGTCACACCTTTATCATAATGGATATTTAAAGTCTGCATAGAGTGGAAGCTGCAACCATTTTTCTTTTTCATATTCATATAGTTCCTAAAGAATCTGAAAATTGAGAAAACAGTGGGCGTGGCTTGTTATTCTACTGCAAGCTGATTGGATGAAGTAGGCATTTCATTTAGAAAAATCAGAAAAAGGGTTTTGGCGGAGTTGTAACAACCTAATAGACACCTCCTCCCTTACCATTTCTGTTTGTTGTCAAAACCGACAGTTGGAGGGGCACGGTTAACAATACCTCAGACAGACATTTAACTGAAAACAAACAGGAAATTAATTTTCAGATTACAAATTAAAATTACCAGGGTAAACTTTTTTTTCTTAATGACATGTACACATGAATTGTTCACCACAAAACTAGCAATGTGAGCTAACAATATCAATACGGTAAGTTGATTTCAAGTGTACTTTTAACAGCACCCAGTAAATGGCAGAAAAACATACATTTTTTGATACAATAACTATTTTATAGTGGTGTAATGGATCACAAATCTCATGGTTCGGATCACAAAATGTTTTTTTTGTCACAGATTATACCATTTTTCAGATCAGCCAAAAAGGTGAGGAGAAAAATGTAATTTGCTTTCTATTTGTTACAAAAACAGCACTGCAAGACACTTTTGGTTTTAAAAAACATAACTTGGAACCTTTTATTTTATTTTAAAAAATAAAAGAAATAATCAGGTGAATAAAAATAAATTGTAAAATATTTAGTGCTGTGAAAAATTCACTAGTACTACTACTGTTGATGATAACACTAAATGTAGAAATCTAACATAATTTATTGCAAGACATATTCATTTTTAGTCTCATTTTCAATAAGTTATTCACTCATAAAACCTCATGTTTCATTGCTAGATGTGTCATTTGTGAAGAATTATTATTCAGTTATTGATCAATTATTCAGACCTTTTGTTTAAATATGTAATTGCTATAAGTAATAAACTTAATTGCTGCCTACAACTTTAATTTTTGAGCACATGACAGTGGTTTTAATCTTTACAATAAACATCAGTGGTTTTATTTAAACTATAAACTGTTATCCCAGTACTGCTGGGTTATTTGACTGTAAGTAACTTTATAACTGACTCAAAAGACTTGATTTTTGCATTTTCAGATTTGAATGCAGCGATTCAAATTAATAAACAAATCACCATCATTTATAAATTACGTTGCGTGGTTGTTAAGATCGTGGTCTCTAAATGATTAATTTTGCAGCTTACACTGATTGCATTAATGCAGGCTAAACAAGTAGTGACAGAAAACACCATTAATGAAACCCACCACAACCAGAATATCCTACCACAACTTCTTCCGTCACCATTATATTTTAGAGGAAAGCCTAAATGCTTTCATACATGTGATTTGAATGACGCCAGGGGCGATCTCTCTGTTATTGTTACAAATTTAGGATTATTCTACCAGTAAAAAACTATATTAATCTGCGAATTACGAGTGTTCCTAACCATGGGTTGTGATCCGCTTCACCCCTAACTATTTTGGTAAAAAAAATAAATAAAAAAAATTCGCAGAATTTCTGAATCTCACCTCAACATCAAACTTAGTCATATCAGCTTTCCACTGAAAGAACTCCTGCACGGCTCCTCCAAAGTCTCGTGCAGCATCGTTTGAGGTGAAGCAGTGTTTGTCTCCAGCTCGGCTACAGGTCACTCGAAACTTAAGAGGCATCAGCTCTGAATCCTGATCTTGGGGTTCAGAAGGTTTGTCTTCTTCTGAGTCGTTTTCAAGATTAGGAGAAACATCTGCTTGGTTCTCTGTCACCTCTAGAGTCTCACAATTCTCCAAGAGCTCCTCTAGATCAGATGGGACAGTATCAGGGCATTTAGCGCTAACATTTTCACACTGATCTGACTTTGTGGGGTTGGGTCTTTTCCGACGTCCTTTCTTCTTTCTTATAGAATTGTTCAACTTCCAGACTTCTAAGGCATTGGTCCAAGGTAGCTTGGTGGCCAGTTCTTGCCAATCCAGTAGCACTTCCTCCTATTACAAATATTACACAATAAACGACTTTCAGTGCTAAAATGATAATATTGAGGCAAAAAAAAACATTTTCATGTGTCCACTGAATGACATTCACAGATTAGTGCATACATTACAGTACAAAACGGCATCAATACTAGTGATTTTTTTACAAGATTTTAAAGAAGACATTAAAAAGTATGTTTTTTTTTTTTCCTCAAACATTCCATCTTGTCTTTTACATCAATTTATTTACTGGTTTTCTATTAGTGTCAGAGAAATTCATCATGTTCTTAACATCACAATGCGATTTCATAACTACATAACATGAGAGTGGTGCCCTAGTTTTAAAACACTGAAAAAAATAAACCTGCAAATATTTTTTATGTAAATTTTAAAATTCAAAATCTAGTTATTTACAAAAAACTACTACAAAACTGTGTACTTACCTTTGTGGCTTTAAATTGGTAATCTTCATATTCTTTTACCACAACAAACAGATTGTCTAGAGACTTGAGGTGATGTACCTTTAGAAATAAATACATGCATATGAAAACCATAGGACAAATTGAAGACAATTAAACAGTAGAGCTTTCTTTCATGCAATTACACACAGAGTTTGAGTTTAGGGTTTTTGAGAATTTTCTTTTGAGCAAAATCAGCATAAAAGTTGTTTGATATCAGAAATCAAAATGTAGTTCAAAAACAAAAAGGTTTCTGAGTCAGAATTATGATTTTTCTACTCAAAGCTGTACATGAAGTGGTATTTATGTTAATTACAATAGTACATGAAGATTAAAAAGCATCCATTACAATGAACTACCTTAAATCATTGGTTATATATTTCTATCTGTATTTTTAAAATAGCTAAATAACAAAAATGCTTTGAATTTTAGTAGTTCCCATTCATTTCTCATAGGTGAAAGTTTTTTTCTCAGAATTGTTCAATCGAGTCCTGTTTTTGTGTGTCTGTTCAGATGGTAGATTTTAAAAAAGTAACAAAATACACTGAACTGCTCAGATAAAGAAAACTATTTTTCAAAAATCCTAAATAAAATGTAAGAATAAAAAAAATATCAAATAAATTTTTTCTCCCTAAAATTTCTATGAGTGTTAAACAAGGATTCTTAAAAATCACAATGGTAAAAATGAATAGGAAAATTATTTACCAAATAAATACTGCTGAAATGTGGGTGGGCACTAATGCACTCTATTACTATGCAACAAGCATTTTAGGAAGTTATTACAGTAAATATACTAATAATGACATTACCAATATATATTTTTGTTTTATTTTATTTAATTTTCATATTTAATGGTTTGTAATTTACTCCTGATTCACCTAATATTTAGTTAGGTTGATTTAAGGGTTAATCTTTGTCCAAAAAATGAAAATTATGGTATTAAAATAGTTACCATCATATCATTCCAGCCCCCCTCAGACCACTGTTTGTCTTCAGAACATAAATTAAGATATTTTCCAGCAAAGGTCCAGAAAAAATACCAAAGATTTCATTTTATGCGCTCACAAAAGTATTCTTGTTGCGTCTTAATATTCCCATCGAACCACTAAGTACACATGTTGACTGTTTTGAGGATTTTTAGTACCTTTCTGGACAAGTCAGGACAAAATTCTCTCCATAATGATAAACTCCAAAGATAAACAAAGGTTTCAGTTATTGATAGAATTTTGAATTTTGGGGTGAACTGACTCTTTAATGGCCTTTCATTTCAATTATTTGGTTTAAAACGTCTTTAGAAGCCTCTTTTAAAAAGCATTATGTTTTGATTGAAGGATTTGTTGAGTTTTCTGTCTGTGCTTGCTGAAAAAAACATGAGCATTTATGCACTTACAACGCAAAATACCACAACTTAGGGGAACATAGTACCCAACAACACATGTGACACTGAATGAAGGCACATGTGGCCATGGCTAAAATCTCGTGTTGACTGACAGACAGACACTTCTTATGCTAACCTAAGAGCTTCGTTGTTGTTGTTGTTGCAAACTGACAGGTTGTGTGAAAGAAGGCGACTGACCTCAATGAGTTTATCAGTTGTTATATCGAAATAGATTCTTCCTCTGTTTTTGCTGACTCTAGCATTGGCTCCGAGTTTCTCCTGAACCTCTTCTGCTGCCGTGAGCTCGAACCCCGTCGGGACAGTCGCTCCGATGGTCACAGTCTGATCAGTGTCCTGCATTATTAACACCCACATTCACTGCAACACAGAACATTAATCACAGTTAACTTACAACTGGCACTACTATCGGTTAAGTCTTCGTGATGATATGATTTACTCGCACTTCTTTACTTACAACTTATCTAATTTATGTAAGCATTTAAAAATATTTAGTCATTGACTTAATGGACTTTACACAAAAATTACAGTATCAGTCAGTACATCATAATAAAAACCCCAGAAAGAAACACGCAGCAGAAGTTACCTCATCTTCTTCTGATGTCATTACCAGTGGTTCACCAACTGACGTTACGGCATTACCGCCACCTACTGCTAACACGATATCGGGCTTCAGGGAGTTTTTTTTTTTTTTTTTTGCAAAAAAGTTGACAAGTTTGTAGCAATACTTGTTTACAATACAGAATATGAATTACATTGTCAATGAAAAAGATACAAGAGAAAGAAAGAAAGAAAGAAAGAAAGAAAGAAAGAAAGAAAGAAAGAAAGAAAGAAAGAAAGAAAGAAAGAAAGAAAGAAAGAAAGAAAGAGAAAAAAACATGTTATAAACTTGAGGGTAAGACATTTAAGAATGAATTAAAGTACATAAATTAAAGTCAGGGTGATGCAGTGGCGCAGTAGGTAGTGCTACCACCTCAGCACTCGGCAGGGTCAGTTGGCATTTCAGTGTGGAGTTTGCATGTTCTCCCTGCGTTTGCGTGGGTTTCCTCCGGGTGCTCCGGTTTCCCCCACAGTCCAAAGACATGTGGTATAGGTGAATTGGGTAGGCTAAATTGTCTGTAGCGTATAAGTGTGAATGAGTGGGGATGTTTCCCAGAGATGGATTGCAACTGGAAGGGCATCCACTGCGTAAAACATATGCTCGTTGACGGTTCATTGCGCTGTGGCAACCCTGGAATAATAAAGGGACTAAGCTGAAAAAAAAAAATATGAATGAATGAATGATAATTAAAGTCAGTACAAAATGAAATAGTTCTGTTTACTTTCATATTTTTAGATAATGAAATTAAATGTAAATAATGACTAAATTATTTCAAAAAATAGAAAATATAGTTTGGTAGTAAATTTGCATTTGTGGATATGGAATTTATAAAGAAAATCTATTTAATTTATAACAAAACAACAAACATTGAGTAGAGGCAGATTCATAATAACCAAAAATGAAAAACAAAACAAAACAAAAACATCTTGCTGTTGCTGTACATTATCATTAAATAAGCCAGTATGTTTCCAAAATTGTACAGCATAATTACAATTCCAAAATAAAGGAAAATTCTTTTTCAGTGTGAAATTGACAAAATGAACATTCTACATCAATATTAAACTGAAACTTTTTCAAAATTGTTTAATAGGATAAAATGTGTTGATTCATTTAAAAGATACTTCTTTGACCTTGTGAGTGAGGAAATATTTCATTACAGGGGATGATATAACAACTTTTTCAATAATATCTAATCTTTTTATTAGAAAAAAACTATTTTACTTATAAACGTCTCTGTCATATCAGATGCGCTTTTATAAAAGGCAGATCATTGCTATTTTCAAAGAGCATGGTAATTCCTGATGTTATAGCTCCCATGAAAATGGCGAAATATTTTTGGACTTACTGGTAAGATATATGCGGAAATTAATTTAAAGTAAATCATTAAAAAACTCTGCAGTTAAATAACTGACTAACTAAAAGCAAACCATTGTTAAATCATTCTCTGAAAAACAAAGATTTATTTTTATATAAAATATTCTGGTTACTCCAAAAAAAATAAAATAAAAAAAAAATGTGTGAGGAGAAAAATTGTGTTTATAAATTAAAGTCCAGGCCAGAAATACTTGTTGATGGAAATTTGAAAGAATAGGAATTTTGGTTATGTTATAATAATTACACATCAGTCAATACTTAATGAATCCAACAAAAGAAAATTTTCCCGTTTTGGAAAATTATTCCAAATTGAATCTTCCTTATTTAGATACTGGTTAAGACAATTAGGTTTGAAGAGCAGAAATCAGTACATTTAAGACTTCCTTTATTATACGTATTTATTATGACAGACTTTTTCATATAGTGGCATTTACTGTATATTTCCAGACAAAGTCTATTAAAGTTTTGTCAATTAGTTTACAATGTAGGCTTATCTACGTACAGAAATTAGCTGCATAAGAGATTTGAGACAGGCCTTTCACTTTGGTGAGCAAATTTCTTCCTTTAATAAACAGATCTCTTTGTTGGCGGGATTTTTTTTCCAACAGACATTTAACATTTCAAATGACAAATCCAACTTATTCTGAAAAGTTAACATAAAGAAATTGATATTATTTGATGATTTGAAGATAACACAATGTACCACAAATGTGCAAATGCAAATCAGCCATCTGATTTGGCAGTTATAACTACACTTTGTAAGCGTTTTCCATCAAGGTCATAATTATGTTTTCAAGTGTATATGTAGATGTTTGTTAAATGGCGGAGAGAACGTTTACTGATGGGCCTTTATGGGTTTGTTTTGAGTGGAAGGTGACATGGTTGGCTTAATTTCAATAGAGTATTCAAATGAATGAATGAATGAATAAATGAATGAATGAATGAATGAATGAATGAATGAATGAATGAATGAATAAAGCAGAAGCTTTTGTGACTTTACAAAAGAAAAGTAAAAAATTTAAGAGTTATCATTAATTCCCAAAGATGTTGCTGTTGAATTTCCTGCCAACTAATGTAATGAGTAAAAAATGCTAGATATACAATGCTCATAACTATAAAAACATTATCAAAAATGATCAAAATAAAATTATGAAGGGAATAGAGCAAGTTTTCTCATTCCTGCCCCTGAGATCGAATGATTCTAAGAATGAGTCCAAATGTCTGTAACAAGTGTTCCTGAAAATGGCTGTTTCAGGTGTGTTTTTTGTGGCTGAAGCTAAACTTTTTGATAGAAAAACCTTTAAGAAAATGAGAGAGCACTCCTGGTCTGAAGATTCATTGTGCGAGTTCCACCAGTAGTGGGCATTCCTGCAGCAAAAGCAATCCAATGGTCCAGTGATTGGGAAACTGTTCCTGGAGAACCAGGATAACTGTCATTGAATGTTATGGGCGGCTGTTAAGTCTGTAGTTTCTGTGATTTTATGCAATTTGCTGGTTTATGTTTTTTTGTTTTTACCAATGGTATATCAATAACTCCTAATTTACAATAATATAATATAATATAATATAATATAATATAATATAATATAATATAATATAATATAATATAATATAATATAATATAATATAATATAATATAATATAATATAATAAAATATAATATAATATAATACAATACAATACAATACAATATAATATAATTTAATATAATAATATAATATAATATAATATAATATAATAATATAATATAATATAATATAATATAATATAATATAATATAATATAATATAATATAATATAATATAATATAATATAATAATATAATATAATATAATATAATATAATACAATACAATACAATACAATACAATACAATACAATATAATATAATATAATATAATATAATTTGCAATTTAGACAGTAGAGATAGAACTATTTATGAAATACATTGAAACTACAGTTTTTATATATATCTGGGTTTAATAGTCATTTATTTTTGCATTTTCATTTTAGTTTTTGAAATATAGTTGGATTTAGTTTTTATTTTCATATTTTTCATGGTTGTGATTTGTGTTACTGTCCTTTCTGACTTATTAAATGTAATTTTACTAGATTTTTTATTTTATTATTATTTCATTTTATTTAATGTAACAAAAGTTTTTGGGGTATTTTATGTATGTATGTTTATTGGGTTTTTTACACTATACAAATGTACTATGTATTTTAAAAGTGTCACATTCCCGGCTCATTCCTGCTGTTCCAACCACCATTTTCCCTCACCATCTCATTCCCTCAGCTCCAATTATACTGATAACACTCACCTGCACCAGCAATCACAGTTCCCTATGGTCACCCCGACCAACCCTTTTCCTGAAGATCGACCTTTCTGCAGATTTCAGTTGCTATCCATATAAAACACACCTGCCTGTAATTATCAAATGCTGTTCAGGTCCAAATTAATTGGTTCTGGTGTGTTTTATTAGGGTTGGAGCTGAACTTTGCAGGAATGTCGAGCTCCAGTTACAGGGTTGAGGACCACTGCCATAGAGCCTATCCGCTTCCAGTCGTACAACAGCTGGAACCGAAGTCAGATGGTTCACCTCACATTCTCCCTTGCTCGCCTTCTTCCGTGGATGTTTCCCCTTTTCCTGTGGATGTTCTCCTAACCTGTGGTTGCACATGATGTGATTAAGGGAAGTGACTTTATACATTGATGGCTGAATGAAGATCCTTGTTTACATTGTGAACATATACAAGTCTGCTCTCCATGTAAAAATATCACTTACCTGCTTCTCCTCTTGAAATATTCTCAGTGTTTTGAATAAATTGATGAAAGGAGATAACCATCTTTGACTTCATTGTGAGACTGTGACTGAAATGTAGACAAAAATGTTGTCAAAATGATCCGTCTTCACACCGTCTGGCAGAAATGACTAATACTGTTATTATATCAGCTGGTGATATCACTTTGTGAAACAACATCATGCGCATGTTCATGCATGGTTCTGTAGTCTGCCTTTGTTTTAGCTGTGCTCATGTATACCTGAACATGGAATATGTGTGATGTCACTGAACTTTACATGGAGATGATAATGTTATTGTTTTTAAAAGCATGAACATGCAAGTTTTGCGTTTCAGACTCAACATATTTAGTTTTCAGGGTTGCATGGTGGCGCAGTGGGTAGCATGTTCGCCTCACAGTGGCAATCCCAGATTAATAAAGGGACTAAGCCAAAAATAAATGAGTGAATGAATATTTAGTTTTCTTAGGAGGGCAACATGGTGGCTTAGTGGTTGGCACAGTCGCCTCACAGCAAGAAGCTTGCTGGTTCGAGTCCCGGCTGGGTCAATTGGTATTTCTGTGTGGAGTTTGCATGTTCTCCCATGTTTGTGTGGGTTCCCTCCGGGTTTTCCAGTTTCCCCTCAGTCCAAAGATATACGCTATTGGGGAATTAAACAAACTTAAATAAACGAAGACCAAAATGAATGAATGAATGAATGATTTATTCTTAGATCAGACACTGACTGATGCTTCGATGTCCTCCTACCTTTGAACAAAAAGCGTTTTGTTTTTTGTTTTTAGCAGGAAATAATAATGTAGCAAATTACTGACTGGAAAATAAGAACAAACAAACAAACAAACAAACAAACAAACAAACAAACAAACAAACAAACAAACAAACATTTGGCTTAGGCATTGAAGCTTGGGATAAAAGTATTTTAGAAAAATCTAAGCAATTTGCAGGCAAGCATAAAGGATGACTGGGGCCAAGCTTCGCAAAAAAATTGACAAAAGAATAAAAAGTTAGTAAGATGGCGTCATCGTATCTGACCAATGAGAAACTACTTCCGGGTCGCCTCTCTTGGAACCAAAGGCTTTCGTTGGTGTCTCTTCTAGTGATTCATTTCTACACAAAACCTTTTCACTTTGAAAAGCGGCTGTAACGCGTTTATGCCGACTGTGAAAACGGCCAGAAAATAGCAAAGCATTCATTTTTAAATGGATATAATTTTTAACTACAACCCAAGTTACAGACCTGTGTGATAAAAAGCGTAATGTAAAAATAAACAATATTACTATTTTGTTATTTTAATTTGTAATATTTTTACTGTAAACCGAGTAGATCGCGCAGTGGACATTGTGGTGGTCAGCGTGCGGATTTGCGTCGTTTCTAAGTTGGATAAACTTTTTTATCAAAACAGAAGGGGAGCACCGTGGACACAAGGTGAGTCAAACGTGCGTTGTAATAATGGTTATATAAATGTTTTATTCACACATACTTATGTTATCAGTTTCACACGCAGAGGAGCTTAAAATTCAACATTTTGTCTATATTCAAGCGAAGGTAATTTGCGTTAGAATGAGTTGTTCCGGTTGTGAACGAGCTTTAAACAAAGTAGCTTTGGACTACACGGGACCCCCACGAGACTCTTTGGGGACTTTAAATCCGGCACATTTTAACTTTATCCAAATTGTATCAACTTATTTTAATACTTTTTCATAAGAGCTTGATTTTGTTTTCCAAAGTGTGTCTTGGTATGTTTATCATAACCGATCCGTTTGGGTCTTTTCGGTGGTTGCTAGCTCAACAGATCTATGCCTGTTTCTATTAATTTAAAAAGCATAACAGATTAGTTGTTGTCCTGCTAGAGAGCTTGTGCCGTCCAATGCCACTACTCTTGCTAACCACAGGGCTCTTCATTGCCCTTTTTACATATCGCAAAGATTTATGGATGGCTCTACAGGTGTTTGCAGACTGCTCTATTTCATTTACTGTTTTGATTTTTGAACTGAGATGATAGGCAGGGTTGGCCAATAACGGGACAGTTCTGTGTGTAGTGACTGAAATTTAAAACATAAATCTGTTAACTGTAGAGTATATTCATATGGACCACATGTATTGTCGTGCTTTTAATTTGTCTTGTTGGACAGATCTGTCTCTTTCCACGTCCAATAAAAAGGGAACGAACAACAGGGACAAGAAATTTTATTTTATTTCATATTTTCACATTTATGAGGAAAAAAGTGTCATTATGGATGTGACATCTCTCCGTTATGGATGTGACAGATTGTGTAACTTTGGTAAATCAAAAAGAATAGTTTGAAAACATTGACAGATGCATTTTTGAGTATTTTTAAAGCACTGTAAAATACTTGCTTACATAAAAAACCCAGAAACGGTTTCTGTATTTTGGTGAAAACTTAATTTTTTTTCATGGCAAGGTTGACATTTGCACGGAATTGCCAATATATATATATATATATATATATATATATATATATATATATATATATATATATATATATATATATATATATATATGTGTGTGTGTGTGTGTGTGTGTGTGTGTGTGTGTGTGTGTGTGTGTATGTATGTGTATATGGGTCAATGACGTGACGCTCATTTTTTTGTGTCCATGTCTTTTAAATAAATTCAAGTAGGTTACATATTCAAAATAAATAAGCAAATTACTTGCATACATTCTCTATTTTGAGGACCAAGTTTATTTTTTTGGTTTTAATCCATTATAAGATATTTTTTAGGGGATTATTGCAAGAATGTCAATGTGGTGTAACCAAAAAAAATTGGTACCAAATAGTTTACCTTGTTTAAAAAATGTGAAAGCCTCAATAAAACATTGTATCGGCTAGGCTGGCATAATTTTACATTAGACATATTTAATAGTAAATAAAGGTAAATATAGCACAATTGTTTTAAATATTATAATTCATTTGGGGAATTTTGTCTGTCACCTCAAATTTCTGAAATGTCAAGATGGTGTAACCACCATTTATTGAGCCATTTTGTTAATATTGTGCACAAGAGAGTTAGACAGGAAATTGGGTCACAGAGAAGAACTCTTGATAAGACTAATTGCTGCATGCAAAGGTTAGTAACTCTTTTTAAAATATGAGATACTTTGACCTTTTTAAGGTATGGTCAGCTATTCTTAGATATGCATGTCAAATGGTAAGACCCCAGAAATGCACTGATAATTGTTCAATATTATAAAAATAAGTATTATATTTAAAAGTTAAATTTGAAATATTCCCACCAAGCCCATGTGCTTACATAGATGTTATTGATAATGCCTGTCAAATTTCATTTTCAGTTGAAATGTCAAGGGGTGTAACTGGTTACACCATTTGACTCATATAGCAGGAGTCTTTCTGTTGGGGGTCAATTTAGTCAAATATCATTAGTTCATGATGCTGATCAAAAATGCGACATAAATTAGACTACTATTTGGAACTATTTGTGTTCATAGTGTAGATTATTTAATTATTTTTGTTTGAGAAATAGGTGCTTAATCCACAACCTTACTATTAAAGCTCTGTAAACCTAGGATAAAGTTATTTTACTGCACAACATGAATGTTTTTTTTATGTTAATCCATGTTTATATTCACACAATATAATGTACACACTCTCTAATTCACACACACATTCATACACTACAGTCAATTTAGTTTTTCTAATTCACCTATACTGCAAGTCTTTAGACTGTGGGGGAAACTGGAGCTCCCAGAGGAAACCCATGTCAACTCCACACAGTAAGCCATCCTGGTCCATCTGGGACTCAAACCAGCAACCTTCTTGCTGTGAGACAACTGTGCTAACCACATTAGCCACTGTATCATCCTCCTTTGAAATGTTGTTTGTATTTTTTTTTCTTCTTGAGAAAGTCTTATTTCTTTTAGTTTGGATAGAATAAAAGCAGTTTTTAAAATGTTTAAACAGTTTTTGAGGTCAATATTGTTAGACTTCTTAAATACAGAACAAACCACAGTTACTCAATGACTTGGCCAATAAATCTTACTTGCCTAATTAACCCAATTAAATTTTTAAATGTCACTTTAGGCTGAAGACTAATGTCTTACAAATGATCTAGTCAAATATTATGTGCTGTCATCATGGCAAAGACTACGGAAGAAATCAGTTATTAGAATTTAGTCATTTAAACTATTTTGTTTAGAAATGTGTTGACAATAATATTCTCTCTGTTAAAGAGCACTTGGGAATTTCTTTTTTAATTAAAAGAAAAAAATTAACATGGGAAATGAAACAAGGTTGACGAGCCTCTATAGACTGAGTGCACACAGCCTTAAGTTTTGGAGGTTTTCATACTTGATGCGCTCGCTGTTGTACTATTATTATTAACAACTGGAGGTGACTCGGAGGAACTTTAATGATGAAAAGTTGTGAAGAACAAGTCAGAAGTTGCTAAACAAATGAAATTATTTACAGTTGAAATCAGTTTTGTTTTGTTTTTTTTACAGCATGTCTGATAATATTTTTTTTCTTCTGGAGAAAGTCTTATTTGTTTTATTTCGGCTAGAATAAAAGCAATTTTTAAAAGCCATTTTAAGGTAAAAATTATTAGCCCTTTTAAGCTTTTTCCCCCCGATCGTCTACAGAACAAACCATGGATATACAATAACTTATCTAATTACTCTAACCTGCCTAGTTAACCTAATTAAGCCTTTAAGTGTTACTTTAAGCTGTATAGAAGTGTCTTGAAGAATATCTAGTCTAATATTATTTACTGTCATCATGACAAAGAGAAAATAAATCAGTTATTAGAAACGAGTTATTAAAACTATTATGTGTTGAAAAAATGTGTTGAAAATGTGTTGAAAAAAATCTTCTCTCTGTTAAACCGGAATTGGGGAAAAAATAACAGGGGAGCTAATAGCTCAGGGGAACTAATAATAATTCTGCATAATTCTGAACTGAGCAGCAGTTCTTACGTACTAGTGTTTTACGTACAGTGTTTGGCAAATTGTTTCTAAATCGCTTAGAAGTAAAATAGTGGATTTTTTTCTAATATCATCTACTTATTTTTATTTTACTTAAGCCAACTGAAAAGAAACAGTGATGGAAAAGGTGTTAAATGTTAAACATGTTTCTTTAGTTTGTTAATATTCTATTGATGAGGGCCACACATTTAATGTAAAGGATGTTATTACTTGGTGTATTAAAGTTCAGCAACTTGGCTTCATTGTTCTAAACACATTTGTCATTGACAATCCCACCCCCCTCAGATATTGTTCCTCAACTGTCATTACAATATGAGACATGGATACACCGTTCATGCGCCATGATGATTTCTTGTTGCCAGACATTTTGGTTAACATTTAAAACAAATTAAATTAACTTCAGCTGAAATTGTTGACTATCATTCTTAATTTGAATAGATTTTAATTGTCAATTTCAAAATCTTTGGCTGTAGAAGCAACACTGTCAGGTGGTGTAACTGGTTTTTGTCAATTGGTGTAACCAGTATTTTACATAAAAATATAATTATGTACATGGAAATAATGTGAAATTAAAATTAAAACACCCAGTTTAGTGTAATAAAATAGTTTTTAACATTTTTTACATAATTTGTCAAAGATTATTTAGAAATCAGATGTGTTTTTAGCATGTGTCCGGCCGAATATTGCAAAAACTCATTAAAATATACATTTAGAGATAATGCGAATAAAATAAATGTTATTGTGGTATTTTACAATGAAGTATTTATTTCAGTGTGAACACTTGCATATCATCTAGGAGAAGTAAATTATTTAATATTTCACAATTTTTGGCAGTTACACCATTTGACATTTTCAGTTGCATTCAGTCTTAATGTTTGTAAAAAATTGTGTAAATTTTATTTTTAATTACATAAAATCAACATGAATACAATCTGTACATTTTAAAATATCTGACGGATGCTTTTAAATCAACTTTGTAAAAGATTTTTAAATTTCCCATCTTGCCAAACCTGTTTTGTCACTGACCCATATATGTATATATATGTTTATTAAGCTTTTGCTTTTATAATAAAATAACCTCCTTGCAAAATGATGATACAATGAAAACAGTTAAGCAAAAAAAACAAAAAACAAAAAACAAACATGAAGGGACAATTCAGCTCAAATACTCAAATGGGGCTTACAGCTGCACATATACATACATTAGAGTTCAGTAGGTCTGGAAAATAGGCAGAAATGAGGCAGAAAGAATAGAATAGAATCAATATCAAAATCAACATATGTCAGGAAAGGTTCCCAAATTTTATGAAAACTTCACTTTTATCTTGTACAATACAGGTCAGATAATTTACTGACACATATTCAAGAAAAGCTCGATGCCACATCCTAACAGAGGGAGATTCTGAGATTCATTGTAAAAGTATACATTTTCTTGAAATAAAAAAACCTCATTTTGTACCTATCA